AAATATTGATATTTATAACTATGAGGTATTTAAAGTATCACTAACATATAATGAGTACACGACTAGGATTTATATAAAAATATTCCAACTTCAATTTTACTGTTGTAGAATCATAAATATAAGTATGAACATAGTTGCTGATTGAGATGAATGTCAGATATTAAATAAACATATTTCCATGAAACGGAACAGCGCGACAGAATCAGAAAGTGTGAATGTAAAAGGACTTGCTGTCTTTTATAATACCTTTTAATCAGAGTCTGTTAAATCTTCGCCATATCCTGCCCCAGCAGCAGCAAGGACCAGGCAAGTGTCTTCATGACCTCGAATAAGTGCAAGGTCAAATGGTGTTCTCCCATCAAAGTGTAACGTGCACCGAGCGGATGTACAACGTATATATAGTAAATTTTTCTTTGGGCTACCTGCCGTTTGATTAGATACAAATGATTATGAAATTATCATATATCATAAACAATCCGCTTGAATTAATACTCCAAAATACACTATTAAATTATCAAAAGTCACAATATAGTAAATATGTTTACAATATAACACTATAAAATTATTGAAAACTATAGATATCACGCTGCAACCCGATAATTTCCTATAGTCCAGCAACTACCTCCCTATCTATGAAGCGAGGCTTCTATTTAGATAGAAAGATAAGCTGCTGGCAGGGATTTACAACAAAAGTTCCCAACTAATTTGGTTTTTTCTATATACAAACTTATTTGTTATTAGTTTACCTCTGGATTTTTAATACCTATATGTTACCAATTTCCTGATAGCGAGGCTTTCAGAAAATATGGAAATCTATAAGTACCCCAGAGTCAAATACAATTTCACAACTAAACTAGAACGACACTATATCCATGAAGCTAGGCTTTCAATTGGGGATAAACAAGGGTATTTAGTTTTGCCAATTCTTCTTTTCTACCTATGAAGCTAGGCTTCAGTTAGGTGAACGAAATTATCCTCAAATGTATGAAGCGAGGCTTCAGTTACACAGAATAACCTGGTCCCGGTGGAATTCCTCTGCAGACTGAATAATGTTGATCTAATCGCCGTATTTATACCTGCTGAGATGATCGCTCAAGCATGACTTAATTTTCATTGGTTGACTAGAATGATCATAATCACTGAGACGATTATAATATTATATGATATCAAACGTTTATTAAAAATACGTATACCAAACGTATATTCTAAAGTACCGTAAACTAAAATACATTGTCGCAACATAAGCAATTAACATAATAGTAAAGTTACACTAAAATCATTTTAGCAATGAAAACAAGCTGAGTAAAAATGTCTAAACGTTACACTACCCACGCCTCCGTTTTACATGCGCCCCGCATGAACTTACAAAATATTTTTTTTAAGCTGCCTCTAACAATTAGATTTGGCATACACACTCTTCGAATGTCCTGTATCTTGAGATTCCCTTACTTTATGTATTCTTCTACAATGCTGTCTTATATAGGCTTTCTTTTTAAATTTCATTCCACAATAATGACAAATCACACGATCACAACCTATCGGACCTCTACATTTCATTTGTATCATTTTACCATTGGCTGTTAACTGATTATTCGAAACATCTATTACAATATTTCTTGCTGTCATAAAATCTAATCCTAATATTGCATCTTCCTCTATGTCAGAAACTATGAAAGGATTTGTAGAAATTGCATCATTCAATTTAATATCCAAATGTGTTCTACCTTTTATTTCTAAAGGTTTTCCAGAGGCATTTACAATGTTTGTTTCAAACGGTTCTAAATTTACTGGAAACTGACATCTATCTATAAAACTTGAAGAAATCATTGAAAGTGTTGCACCAGTATCAATTAAACAATTAGCTTTGATCCCATTTATTGTAGCTTCAACAAATAACCCTGAACCACACGAATTAGACGAGTTTTCACAATCTTTCTCCAACACATTAATTTTTCGTTTTGATTTTCTAATGAATTTTCGACAATTGTATTTATTATGACCTTCCTGACCACACTCATAACATTTAAAAGATGGGGTTAATGCTTCCGAGGGATCACTTTGTTTCCAGAATTTTGTACTTCACAACAGCAGGTGTCAAGTGCTGTGTGGCAGCTGTAAAAAGTTGCCCCGTACTTCACTTCAGTGTTGTTATACTTTCTGGTCCTTCGGGATCATTGATGCCAGCACTATTAAGTGTTGAGAATTGAGTACCGCTCAAGCCGGTGCTAGGGGGCGTGAGGGATGTTGCACTTATTCATTATCTCTCATGTACAGACTCAATCAAACCGAGTCTGCAATTCTTATGTAATTTTTGATGGGGTTAATGCTTCCGAGGGATCACTTTGTTTCCAGAATTTTGTACTTCACAACAGCAGGTGTCAAGTGCTGTGTGGCAGCTGTAAAAAGTTGCCCCGTACTTCACTTCAGTGTTGTTAACTTTCTGGTCCTTCGGGATCATTGATGCCAGCACTATTAAGTGTTGAGAATTGAGTACCGCTCAAGCCGGTGCTAGGGGGCGTGAGGGATGTTGCACTTATTCATTATCTCTCATGTACAGACTCAATCAAACCGAGTCTGCAATTCTTATGTAATTTTGATGGGGTTAATGCTTCCGAGGGATCACTTTGTTTCCAGAATTTTGTACTTCACAACAGCAGGTGTCAAGTGCTGTGTGGCAGCTGTAAAAAGTTGCCCCGTACTTCACTTCAGTGTTGTTATACTTTCTGGTCCTTCGGGATCATTGATGCCAGCACTATTAAGTGTTGAGAATTGAGTACCGCTCAAGCCGGTGCTAGGGGGCGTGAGGGATGTTGCACTTATTCATTATCTCTCATGTACAGACTCAATCAAACCGAGTCTGCAATTCTTATGTAATTTTGATGGGGTTAATGCTTCCGAGGGATCACTTTGTTTCCAGAATTTTGTATTTGACCCATAAGCTAATGTTCTTGAAGACGTTTTATTATTTTGATTTTGCTTTGAAGTATTTTGGTTTCTTTTATCAAAAGTTTGAAAATTATTTCTGCGTTGAAACATTGAAAACATACTCTTCATTTCGTCTATTGATTTTGTCAGGCTATCTAATTTGCTATCTTGATTTTTCGAACTCTCATACTGATCAGAATTTAGTTTTCTCATATAACCACGAGTTTCATGGGATTTTCGTTCTGCTCTGTTGAAAGCCTCAAGCTCAACAGCGTGTCTTACTGCTTCGTTCAAGCTTGTAGGACGAGCTTGTTTAATTCTAAGCCTCATATCCGAGTTAACCAAAGAATCTATGAATTGTTCTTTCGCTAAAGTTTCTTTCACATCTGATGGTGCTGAAGGGTATGCTAAATTAGTCAAACGTCTTATGTCCTGCCCCATCTCAGATAAAGATTCTGTAGCTTTTTGTCTTCTTTCTCTTAGTTGAGCTCTATATAATTCAGTTTGATTGGGTGGTGAAAACCTTTCTTCTAAAGCTAATACAAGTTCATCATAATTTGGTGATTTGCTTGTCAGATTGCCAAATACACCTTGAGCTTGACCTCTTAATGAAACAGATAAATAAAGTCCCTTTTCTTTGTTTGTCCATTGATTTATTTCTGAGCATGCTTCAAAATGCGCTTTATAATCTATCCATGAGCTAGTTCCATCATACGTAGCTGGCTTTATCATAACACTTCGTTTTGAATTTGAGTTTATAGGGTCGCGTTCTATTTTAAAGGGCTTTTTATCTGGAGTCGGTGGTAATAACCGTCGCCTTCTTTCTGATAGAGGTGTTGCATAATGTCTTGTTAAAAATTTAGGTGTTGACGTTTGTTTGTCTTCATAGTTTGAGTCATATTGAATTTGAAAAGATAACTGCATACTGTCAATCTGTCTTTCAAGTATTGATATTTCATTTTGCAGTTTAAAAGCTTCATTTTGGTGCTGCAAATCTCTGAGTTTTTCGTGTAACAAAATAAGCTCATTGCTATTACTAAAATCTTTACTCTCAGCCATTTTTAACAAATATCTATTTTAATATGTGGGGCCAGATAATGGTGTTTTTATCTATATGATCCCACCGTCGCTGCCACCAATTTTTGTAACGTGTACCGAGCGGATGTACAACGTATATATAGTAAATTTTTCTTTGGGCTACCTGCCGTTTGATTAGATACAAATGATTATGAAATTATCATATATCATAAACAATCCGCTTGAATTAATACTCCAAAATACACTATTAAATTATCAAAAGTCACAATATAGTAAATATGTTTACAATATAACACTATAAAATTATTGAAAACTATAGATATCACGCTGCAACCCGATAATTTCCTATAGTCCAGCAACTACCTCCCTATCTATGAAGCGAGGCTTCTATTTAGATAGAAAGATAAGCTGCTGGCAGGGATTTACAACAAAGTTCCAACTAATTTGTCTATACAAACTTATTTGTTATTAGTTTACCTCTGGATTTTTAATACCTATATGTTACCAATTTCCTGATAGCGAGGCTTTCAGAAAATATGGAAATCTATAAGTACCCAGAGTCAAATACAATTTCACAACTAAACTAGAACGACACTATATCCATGAAGCTAGGCTTCAATTGGATAAACAAGGGTATTTAGTTTTGCCAATTCTTCTTTTCTACCTATGAAGCTAGGCTTCAGTTAGGTGAACGAAATTATCCTCAATGTATGAAGCGAGGCTTCAGTTACACAGAATAACCTGGTCCCGGTGAATTCCTCTGCAGACTGAATAATGTTGATCTAATCGCCGTATTTATACCTGCTGAGATGATCGCTCAAGCATGACTTAATTTTCATTGGTTGACTAGAATGATCATAATCACTGAGACGATTATAATATTATATGATATCAAACGTTTATTAAAAATACGTATACCAAACGTATATTCTAAAGTACCGTAAACTAAAATACATTGTCGCAACATAAGCAATTAACATAATAGTAAAGTTACACTAAAATCATTTTAGCAATGAAAACAAGCTGAGTAAAAATGTCTAAACGTTACAAAAGGTCCTTGCATTTATATTACAGGAACGATGCCGTAACAGTAATTTGACTTGATTTAAATCACATGTAAGGCAAGCATTGTGTAGTATTGTTCGACCTGTTTTTCCTTCTTTGAGGTTAACGTCTATGTCTTTGTCCAGTAACATACTGACAATATCTAAATGTCCGTGTGATGCAGCTAAATGGAGGCAAGTTAATCCCTCATAGTTCTTTATGGATACATCCTGTGGAATGGTTTGGTACGGTATATCATAAGAATTCTGTTTGGTTTCATGATATCTGACAGGCTCAAGAAGATTTTGCACATTTTTGTATTGTCCTTGGCGACACGCAATGTGCAAAGCTGTATTTCCGTCCTTATCGCGTTTATCTACTTCAGCACCAGCAACAATTAATCTTCTTGTGACTTTTGGCTGATCGGTTAATACGGAAAGATGTAGAGGTGTTTGAAATAAAACATTTGTAAAAGACAGCCAGGTGTTTGATGGTGCTTTACCAATAAACATCATGGCTAATGTTTCATCACGTAATATAATGGCTGTATGTAAGAGAGTATCACCATCTTTATCCCTTAAATATATTCTAGACGCGTCAATGTTGGCTGCCACATGGTTTCCATGATTTCCTTTAAATGACTGTGGTTCGTTGAAACGTTCCTTTGAACAATCATCAATCATTTCTACAGAATCAAGTTGTTCACATAAATTGTTGATATCTCTTTGGCTTTCTCTATAACTCATCATTTTATCTACTCTGGAAAACATTGATGCAGTATCAGGATATTGCTCTGTACCGTAACCAGTGGTTTCTGTCATAACGCATCTACCGTGATCAGAGAAGTAATTAATCTGATTAAAACTATCCACGTTCATTGTACTGTGATCAACGTCTGATAAAAACCGATTTTGTTGAACAAAATGTGTGTTGGCGTCACTGCATGTGCTGTTAGGAACTTCGTCTTCGTTCATCTTAGTCATGTTGACTGTCTGAAACAATTTAAACATAAATACTACATTAAAACATATGTTTTAAAGTGATTATATTTCTAAAATCATACAGATGAGTAACCGATATGTAACTAAAGCCGAATGGCTATAAGAGATAAACATATAGAATCATCCGAATTATCTTTTCTTCTGTTTTAGAAAATTAATCGATTTTCAAATGAACGAATAGCATTATAGTTGTATAATTTAATTATTATAATACACACGTGCTATGAATGTGACGGTTACATACAGCGTCGCGTGATAACGACATTATTTATTACTTAATGATAATAACATAATATTTTAAATAAAAAATGTTGTTTTGTCTGCCATTTGTTATATCACATGTTTGTAGTGAATGAGATATTTATGACAAGGAAATATGAATTAAATGTTCCAATGAAATAACATGATAACCAATAACCAATCTTATATTAATATATACTAAATATTAAATACACATATACGCTACTGTTCACTGTTAAAACCATTTATAAGTGGTTGAAATTATATTGTTTCGAATGATGTCGTTCAATTTTTTAATCATTTAAATTGGGACCAATTTGTATTTTAAATATTATCCCGTTAAAACTCTTACTTATGTAACCTCTAAAAAGAGTTGCTTCGCTCAAGTCAGATTTGATAAAATACTGGTTAATAAACAATAACCTATACTTAGAAACTTACAAATTTCAACTTTTTGTTCGAAAGCATCGAATAAAAATTATCAGAATTTAATATATCTATATTGAAAAGTATGAATTTAGAATATTATATCTTTCTTAATAAAAGTCAAATTGGTCTATGTCAAAACATGTTGAACTGAATTTACAAGCATTTACCTATAGCATATAATCACACTTGTTGCATATAAAAGAATGTTTATTATTATGTATATTTAGTGTATTTATACTCGCCACGTTTCACCATTATCTAGGACACACTATTTATATCATTTGGATGACTTACCGTTTATGTCATGAATATTTTGACTCAAAATCACGTGTTTTTAATCTTTTTTTAAAGCTTTTTATTGAAGCAATACGTGTAACATATTACAATTAAGTTTGCTAAATTTATTGAACAAAGAATACATGTTAATAATTTTTATGGCAACGGTATACCCTCAATTTAACTTTTTTTCTTTTTCTTTCTTTGTTTTTGCAAAAATGTTTACAACAAGGTTCGTTAGAAAATAATTAATGATAATATTAGTTTATAGATATATTACATGTACATACGTTTTAAAATTGAATTATACTGCAAATGATTGCTCAATACCGTCTGCTACTACACAGATATAAATATTTATTTAATATAGCATTGGTGTCTATTTTTAGATTCGATAATGGAAAGTCCAGAATCTCATATAAGCTTGATTTTCAATAACAATTACGATTTATTAAGTTACAAACAAAAAACTGCAATCACATTTTTCTATTTTTTATTGGTCAATTGTGTAATTTGGTAATTTTGTCCTTCACGTTCAAATATAGATAAACTATAATATTTATGTTTTATGTATGTAAGTTATTCTCATCGCCGTTATTTTTAGTAATTTATCCTCATTTTGCAAGTTGAAACGTGTTTTAGACTTATGCAATATGTAAAACCATTTTGCAGTACGTTGCGAACACCTGTTTGCACATCTCATACAATTTTTTGAACATTTTATTTTATATATAAAATATTGAAACAAATAGATCATAAACATAACGAGATTTAATGTCTCAATTTTTAGGAAGATGTCCATATGACTTATCAGTTTGACTTCCTGTAAATTAGCGGAGAAGGACTGAATATAAGTAGAATTTTCATTTATCATTGGCCATTCTGGAATGAAATGTAAAGGATAGTTCTAACCATTCTACAATAAAATGTAAAGGATAGTTCGTACTATTGTAAAATAAACTTATATCTCGAAAATGAAATGTCAAAAAGGGATAGTTTATGCCATTTTATATAATTAAATGTAAAGGACAGTTCAAACATAAAATGTTCAGCAATAAGGATAGTTTTTTTTGTTTGGGTCGTCAGACCAAACAAATAATGGTAGCGAAATTTCAGAGTCTAATGTTCTTAATTGCAAATGCCGAAAGTAGTCCCCTTTTTTGAAGCGGTTACTTCCCTTTTGTATGTACACTAAAGCCGAAAAATTCAGGGGAGATCACTGCGTAAAGATGGTCAAAGACAGGCGCATCAATTTTCAAGCAAAGTAATTCCCGAATGGTCGAAGATTTCTAATATTGTTTTCTGGTATTTTCTGATCGAAAATAACTAAATACAAAGCGGACATTCATCTCTGACACAGAAGTTTATGACAAACCTAACAACAAGTAGTTCTCAAAACAGCTTAAAACTAGCGATTTAAAAGAAAGAAATATTTTATTTTGTTACAAGTATCCAACAAATTACAACGCATTTAAAGTTAAACAATAGCGTTGGCTTATAGAATTGTCAATAAATGCACAATCACAAATTACGCGGATGAATATGATTTTATCAATGAAAATACTATTTTTAGCCATGTAGATTACCGAATACTACACAAACCGAGTAGTGGAATATATAGATTCTACATGTCGGACTGTTTGGGCGAGAGGATTTTCGCTAAAATATTTACTTCAATTTTAAACAACAGGTTTACCCTGAACAAAATACCTCGAAATTAATAAGGATTACAAACCTGAATGCAATGGAAGTTCTAAATTTAGAATGACTTGATATTATTCAGACATACTGTGTATAACTTCTCTGTGGTACAGTGGTAACGCGCTCGCTTAGTGAGTGAGAGGTCTCGAGTTCGAATCCCAATCGAGGAAATTTTTTTTTGGTTAAATTCTTTTTTTAATTGTTTTTGTTAAGGAAGTAGCCATGATTTACAAGGATAAAGTGTGGCTGTCGTAAAAAAAGTACATAAATGATTTTTTGATGCAACTCTAGTTATGCAGAATTCCGTATGTGCCTTACAAAATGAATTATAATACATAAAAATAAACTTATACAGGAAAATGCATACAGATATACAGTACGATTTAGATTGCAAAGATCAGAAAATACCAAAGAACATGAAGCCCTTTGATTCTTTATAAATATACATGCTTATAGTAAGCTTCAGGATTATTTACATCTGTGTTAAACAACAGTTAAAAGTCGTTACAAGCCCTAATTTAGAATAATATGGTTTTCTTCAGGCCGTTCACATATAAATTTAACCGTGGCTGAAGGGTTTTCGGGCTCGCTTAGGAAGCGAGAGGTCTGGAGTTCAAATCCCAGTAAAGGTAACTTATTTTTTTAAATTGTTAAAGTCAAATAAACATTGGATTGAATATCAGTGTTGCAATTAGTCTTATAGCCAATTTACTACAATTAAAACGCTGGAAAGCATTGGTGGCACTAAACATATAATCTCACAACCTGCACCTTTCTTACATTCTGAGACCCAAACAAATTCAGCGCCTTCTGTGCTTTGATTTTACTTGCAGGTTAATTTGTAAACGACTACAAAATGTCTATACTCAATACTGCGAACGCTTTTATTGATTTCTGAAATTTATTTTTTTAAATAAACTAGACAAATGTAACATAAAATAAGGATGAGTTAATCTTTCTGTACCGTATCAGTAAAACACATTTTTTATAATTTCATACCCACACGCAAATATATAACTTGATAAAATAAACGAATAAAATAAATTCCTTATCAGCATATTTCATATAAAATTTTTAACTTACTTGTTTCTTAATGTGTACTGTTTAAACGATAATTGCAAAGCAACACAGGGAATTTTATATAAATTGCTTAAATTGATATTTTTCTCAAGCTTATTTTTAAAATGCTTCAATATTGCTTCGGTTTTTTTAAAATTATGAATAAGAAAATAAACTATGTTATTATATGTAAATTACTTCCGGGGATAGTGATATAGCCTAGTTAATCATAACGCTTGATATAATATTATAATTATTGTAACAATTATAGGATGAAATACATTAAATGGTAAGAGCAATACTGGGACTGGCTGTAGAAGTATCTTTAGTAATAAAACCATGTATAAGTCATCAAAATTGACTTAAATGCCCTTATTTGAGATAAAATCTAACGGATATTTGTACATGATAGTATCAAGTGTTTTGCTCGAAATGAATTTATGTACTTTGAAGAGATAAAATCAGGACAGATCTGAATATTTTTATTTCACTTCCATCAGTTGAAACATAAGTTAATACTGTTTTAAGGTTCGCCAGCCTTACGCACATATTTGCTTACATGCCATGGCATATTATGAAGAAATGTGTAGTTGTGACTAACTTCCGATCAGTCAACAAAGGTAATGTTCAAACTTTGAACATATCATTGATCTGACTGACTTGGAAATGCATTCATCTTTTTTCTCTGTTTCTGTCATTAAATTTAGACTAAAACAGTACATCCACGTACAATAACTAGTATGATTTACTAATTTTTATCAATGGATGAACTTGTTACTTCTCGATTTTACCAGAATATATAAAGCTTGAGTAGACTTATTAATAGCTGATAACATACATCACATTTTATTTCTTCATGCATCTTAATTAGTTATATAATTATTTCGTTTTAATCTTACCTTAAGAATTGATAAGTCTGTGTTCAGTTTTACTTCGATAAATCTGTGTATTACAATTACTTAGATGTATTTAGATCATATTATATAGGTATATAGATGCGTAGGTGAATTAAGTATTTCAAGAATCTTTATTTTAAGATATGTGATACAGATTCATTTCTCCCAGTAGTTTTCATCTTTAACAATTATAAGCTTTATACGAAACCAACCAAATAACCTCCCTTCAAGGACATTTTCTGAGTAGCTATTTATGTTACAATATGTTGCGGTAACTCAGTAAGAAAGTGAGTGGGAAGAGGAAGATAAAAGTTGTCGCACTTGTAACTCGGTCTCTAGTATTGCCTAGTTCATAACCCTTAAACTCACCTTCACATGTATTACATTGCATCTTATTTATTATGCGTTTTCCTGGACTTATGACGGTTACATTACACATATCGCACATTACATCGGACCCTTTTTCGCGTTCTTTTCATTTGACCCAATTTCTCTTAAATAAGCTTGGACCTTATTACTCGTTTTTAATTAGTACCTAGGTAGATATGAGAAAATAAGTGATTTTCGATTGCGAAATCCCTGACAGCAGTGTTAACCAAGTAATTCATAGAACTATATCTTTTTCGTTTGAAAATACCACACACTGACTGTGTTCAATAAGCTCTGTTTTGACAAGCTTCCCAAATAAATGTTTTATCATAAAATCTCAAAAATAATTTATCGTGTTATTTAGTATTGCCTAGTTCATAACCCTTAAACCCATCTTCACATGTATTACTCTGCACCTTATTTATTGTGCGTTTTCCTGAGCCTGTGACGCTTGCACTACATATATCGTAAATAACATCCGACCCTACTTCTCGTGCATTACCTTGGACCATATTTCGCGTGCTTTACCATGAAACTCATTTTTTTGTGTATGAATATGAACCCCATTTTTATGCATAACAAAGGACCTGTTTTCTCGTGCATAATGTCCAACTGCATTTATGATAGCAGAATAAATATGGAATTACCATAATTATTTTAATAAGTGACTATGTGGATACGAGAAAAATTGAGATTTTGGATTTCATAGAACTATACCGCCCATGTTTTTAAAAAGATCACACCCTGCCTGTGTTTAGCTTTCCTTTCCAGTTTCGTTTTGACATGCTTTCCAAACAAATGTTCATATCAAAATTTCAAATAAAGTTTACATTGTTTATTTTGTTACGTAATAATATTTTAGAAATTGAATTATTTTCAAATATTGATGCAACGGCGGATTTAAACAGGAATATGTAAATAATTCCAATACT